TTAAATGTTCACTGCCTGAATCATCGATATATCGATGTGTATTAGAGTCCTCTCATATCTCAGCACATGTAGGGTTGAAATGACATGGGTGAAAACCACTCACGATTGTAGAGTTGAAGAAACGCTTTCATCGCGAAAGTGGGCAGCGGAGGGTGTTCTTAATGCTTGAGCACTGGTTCCGTTCTGGAGTCGAGTTGATGTTTTGTCATTTAATGATGTTTGTTTAATTTTAAGAGCCACATTCGGACCTGACCGCGTGTGACAAGCACGAGATAATTATGCTCATTTCTAACCCGGAATCTTGTTTGTTTGTTGTATAACGCCGCACTCTGCAATATTCCAACTATAGGGCGGCGGTTTGAATGTCATCGAGTCTGGATTAGACAACTGGAATCGACACCGAGTTTGAAACCTGTCTTCGTAGCTCATGAAATATAGGTGCTAGTTTAAAAAATCATCATAGATGGGATTTAAAAATTGTCACACAGATTCAATTTTAAGTATCAACTTATACGTAAACGTACAATTCATAATATCACAATATATTATAAAACGTCACCGACCGTACAATTCTGACAACCAATATACTACTGATCTACTTTGATCAACATAAATACAATTTTAAATATCAGCATAGATCCAGTTATTGATAAAAATGACACGATATTGACTTTGAACAAAAAGTTCTTTTTATCATCATCATCATCATCATCGAGGAATTGTCATTAAAACTGTTTCTTTTGCATTTCATTTCAATCTTGACATACCATCACAGATTTTTACTTTCTAGAAGCTGGTCTGAAACCATTTTTTATTTTTCCTTTTTAATCATCCTCCAGGTTTCTTCTTTAAATGGCATTTAGAAGCTGGTACAAGGAAGAGAAACCATTTTTATGGATTGTCAAATTCTTTATTGCAATAGATTTGACGTTTCGGTGGAGATGCTAAGTTTTCTAGTAGCAGTTTTCTTAGAGTTTCTAGGACTTCAGTCGTGCCCCACAACGAAGCACACACAACACATGTGGTCTCCCCACAGTGAGTTTGTTCAATATTGTCTCTGTTCACCCAGCAGTAAATGGGTACACGGTGGGATAAGAATTTCATATGGTTGTTGACCTTCTTGCCTCTCACAGGCAGCTTGAATAATAATGTATAATTTGTCCCTAGCGCCACTGAACACCTTTGATTTGTATATTAGGTACCCGTGAAGATCTGGGTTCGAATTGGTCTTCAACTACCCATGCTTGCCTTAAGAGGCGACTAACGGGATCGGGTGGTCAGGCTCGCTGACTCGGTTGACACATGTCATCGTATCCCAATTGCGTAGATAGATGCTCATGTTGTTGATCACTGGATTGTCAGGTCCAGACTCGATTATTTACAGACCGCCGCCATATAGCTGGAATATTGCTGAGTACCGCGTAAAACAACAAACAAACCAAACCGACCTATATTAAGCGCTCTACAAATGAATCATGTATATTACCCGGGTATGACCAACCGTTGCCTGTGAGCGACTCGTCAACACGCCAATCAACAACTATGAGAGTAACGTGACATATTCCCTAGAGTCCTGTAAGAAGAAGTGGAGATTCGCACCATCTGTAGTTGTTGAGAGCTGAGTGATGGATGCATTGACTTAAACGAGTGGCCTGTAAGGATGTTGTATACAGACAATAAACGATGCAGGAGAGTCATAAACTGGACATTAACGGCCCGTTCCTTCCTTTCATCTTCCCATAAGTAAATACTTCATTGGCTTCCGTATCGACTTTTCAAAATGGAAAGTGATGGAGCAAACAGACTTGTCTACTCAAGTGTCCACTCAGTGTGGTTTGTTTTCTGTTGTACCTGGTATTAACACAGTAATAGAAGAAATGAAAAGACGGGAAAAGTTGAAGAGACAGTTTCTTTAGCTCGACGTGACATATGAAATCCTTCGACGAGGAATGACTTTGATATTTCTGATACGCTTTACACTAAACAAATACATAACACGTGTCGGTAATAACTGCCAGATTGTGTATGTGTACTTCGGTAAGAGATGTTGATAATCAAGCGCTTTTCCTGCTGGGAATGTTTGCGGCATTTAAAAGTGAGATTATTCTTATTGAAACAAACATATGATGGGGGACCTTTCCAACTCATCAGTGAAAACAACGATGTCCGATGCTGTTCTCCATTTGGGATTGTTTCAGTGTTTTGTTTCGCTTTGAACGTGAATAATTGGATAGCCTTTGCATGTATTTGTGTCGGGTGTCGCGGCGGGGCGAGATCCCATTTTCACGTGGAAACCCCCCCATCGACACTGGTAATGCTGATTCATAAACTGACGGATATATTCAGAATCGTACAAAGGCTTCAGCTTTTAGCAGGGAAAGCTTATGATCATGGAAATACTTTTTATACTTTTACGGTATGAGAGGAATCATTCAAAAACCCATTTTTCTTTCTTAGTAATGTACTTTATACCTTTTTAATACATTTTTTATGCCTTGATTACATGTACCTGTAATACTTTATTATTATAGTTATGTTTTCCTATTTCGACATTTTCCGTGAAGATCCGGGTTAGAATTGGTCTTCCGTAACCCATGCTTGTCGTAAGAGGCGACTAACGGGAGCGGGTGGTCAGGTTCGCTGACTTGGTTGACACATGTCATCGTATCCCAAAGGCGTAGATGGATGCTCATGCTGTTGATCACTGGATTATCTGGTCCAGACTCGATTATTTACAAACCGCCGCCATATATCTGGATTATTGCTGAGTGCGGCGTAAAACTAAACTCATTAACTCACTCACTATTTCGTCATTATTTTCCAATTTACTCTTTCCCAGCGTGCATTTATCAATTATACTGAGTAAACTAAACATTTTGGGGCGAAACATTAAACTACACACACTGTTGTGCACATATTACTTAAGCGTTATTTTTCTTTTCTTGATGTGGTATTCATTGAATTAGTAATATCAACACAGTCTAGCATTATACCGTAATTACTGTGATTCCTTCATAGGTTCAGAATCAGAAATACTGTTTAATATTCAAAGTGGGAAATGATATATTTACACTCAATGAATACAAATTGGCAGTGTTTTTATCATCAAGTACTTCATAGGTTTGTCTAAACGATCATTTATGCAATTCCATAATATGACATACAGCTGGTTTGTTGTGTACTTGACAAACTGAAAGTACTGGTGCCCTTTTTATGAAATTGGAGTGAGTGAGTGAGTTAAGTTTTACGCCGCACTCAGCAATATTCCAGCCATATGGCGGCGGTCTGTAAATAATCGAGGTTGGACCAGACAATCCAGTGATCAACAGCATGAGCATAGATCTGCGTAACTGGGAACCGATGATACATGTCAACCAAGTCAGCGAGTCTGGCCACCCGATCCCGTTAGTCGCCTCTTACGACAAGCATGGGTTACTGAAGATCAATTCTAGCCCGGATCTTCACGGGTATTATGAAACTGGAAATTGACTGTACCGTTAGTAAATCTGATTGTTTCAATTAACCTCCACTCATTCCTGCAAGAATCTGTATCATTTAGGGTGTTATTGGATGTAAAGTAAATGTAGAGTAAAATATATATTTGTAAACACATAAAATGTTGCAAAAATGTGCCAAAAAAGAGAAAAAAGTTGTCAGCCACCCATCAGCACTTGTCTGTTAGGTGAAACCATTGGTTTAATTCTTTAATTTATTACCTTAATTTTTAGAACACCCAGTCTCCTTTGGTGTTAAGTGTTAACTGTTTTCAATTACAAATCAAACGTATGATGGAATCAACCGAGAGGTGTCGTTTCTTTTCCTTCTCAGTATATAATGCTCCAGCATCAAGATTATCACTTATCTTCCGAACCCTGTTTAAAGCGGGCTAAGCTTCCGTTTGATTGAAATCCGTTTAGTTGACATAAAAACACAGAACGTTTGTATGTAAATAAGATTCCCCAAATCAAAAGGAAAAGCATTCTAAATTAAGACTAATATAAACCACTGTTCATTGATTTTTATTTTAAATGCAAATGTTAAAACATAATATTATTTTAGTATTAATAGGTATGTGTCGAGGTTTCGTACCTTCATGCTTCTAGCAACCAACATCTTTACCATTAACACGTTAATTAATGGTAATTATTCCAGTAACCCCGGTTACATGTGTTTACATGCGTGCATTCTTTTACATATCATTAACACGCTTTTGTCTGACCAGAAAGAGTTCTTTCTTTACTCAATCAATGTTCCGGTGCCATCGAAGTACGACGATATCGTGTTTGTAGTTTTACATAAATATTTAACAGCCAATTTAAACTTTTGTCACATCTGTTCATGCCCAAGCTTAACACACCTCGGCGATGATATTTACTATCTTACGTCATATTGGGTTAAAATTATGCAATTTCTGATTCTGACATTTAACTTCGGTTGTTTGCTTGGTAACAGGCATGAAGTTGTTTCACGACGCTGGGGTTATTACATAAGCATTTATCGATTGAAGGGCGTGTTTCGTGATTGATGTGATAATGTACAACGAAACGTCAATTAGTAGAAAACTATGTATGTTTATGGCTTGTCTGAGAATATGGAAACTTTTGAATTGACGAACTGCTTATGGAACGTGAGTAGTATTTTTGACTGGGCTGTTTTAATGACGTTATTACTGCGCAGACCTGAAGTGACGTTTGTAGTGGAGTTGATGAGTTTTGGTTTCCAAAATAGCGCACACGACCTCGCAGACACAGGGGCATGCATGCATGCACACACATTAGAAACACACGCAGACACAGACACGTGGTCTCTCTCTCTCTCTCTCTCTCTCTCTCTCTCTCTCTCTCTCTCTCTCTCTCTCTCTCTCTCTCTCTCTCTCTCTCTCTCTCTCTCTCTCTCTCTCTGTGCATCCTGTGTGACACAGTAAAGAGTCATTTCTTCGTAATATCAGGTTTTGGTTACTATTGATTGTCATCGAACTCTTACTATCTCATATTTTTCAGACTTTCAGACTACCAATGTGCATTGAAGGGTAATCAGGAGCGAGAGCCCACAAGGGGATATTCTTTAATGGTTCGCCCTGAGGAGAAGAAAAGGTCACGGAAATCATGAAAGACAGTACAAACTTATAGATGTATGGCTCAGTGGGATACAACACAGACGTAACTGAAGATGTATGTGGAAATGTGACACAACAAAGTGATATTTTATACCATAAGAGTTAGACCTTTACATCATGTGGTATCTCACGGTGAGGAAAGGCGGTGTTTTGAACTACGAACCAGTTACCATAGAGACATGCTAAATATGAATCCCTTCGACAAAGGGAAATTCAACATTTTAATCATTTTACGACAATGAAATCATGAAGACAAGATGATAATGACGGAATTCATAAGCGAGATTTATCTGTGTTGTGTGCACAGGAACGGTCGGTGACAAATCAACATCTAAATGTGAAATCCGGTTCGAGTTCAATTTACGACAATGAGCAGACGATTCAGTGGCGCCATTTTGCAAATCTTCATTTTGACATTCGTCCCGTTCTGCGAAGGGACGGTTCAGCTTCGAGGGGCAGGGGCTAGTTTTCCTGAACAGGTGTACAAAAGCTGGACAACATCGTACAAACTGTACCGTCAGCAGCGTAGTAGCGACGTCAACGCAACCTACAAGTCGATCGGAAGTGGGAGTGGGCGGAAACGTATTATAAGCAACGATGGAAATCTAGAATTCGCAGGGTCAGACTCCATCATGTCGGCAGAAGAAAGAAAACAAGCTCCCGATCTCGTGATGTTTCCGACGTTAGCAGGGTAAGTTAAAGAGTGAGTTAGCTGGGTTTAATGCTGTGTTGTCACAGCCAGTAACTTCAGCTAAAGGTGAACGCCCAAACAATTTGCACTAACCAAAACCGCCACGTGTACATACCCTGTTAGTTTCCCATGTCTTCGGAATTCGCGACGATGTTGAATGGTGTATCATTGGCATGCCATAAATCTACGATCGTGGGTTCGAATCCCCGACTGGCCTAGGTTTTGTCAGAAAGTGTTTCGTTTCACGAAAGGGACTGAGTTTAGTTTTGCGCCGCACTCAGAACTATTCCAGCTGTATGGCAGCGGTCTGTAGATAATCTAGTCAGGACCAGATAATCCAGTGATCAGCAGCATGAGCATCGATTTACGCAAATGGGATACGATGACGTTGTATGGACTCCCTTCGTGATATTGCTTGAATGCTACTAAACATGGCGCAGCCATACTCATTCGCCCACTCGCTTAGTTTCGTTTCTGCTGAAATATTGAACAGGATTCTGAGAGGGACCTTACATCAAAGATCAATTGAATATACTCCTTTGTGCTTTCATACAAACTTCACCTCAAGTATCATCGCTTGATAAAAAGGCTTCGCACGATATATCAGATGGCTTATTGGAACATCGTGTAGAAAATGCGTAGATAGAATTTTATGCTGTCAACCATTTGTTAGGCCTACGATAGGGACACCTGTACAATGTGCTATGCCTATGATAGGGGTTCCCATACCATTTATTTGGTCTATATATGATAGTGTCCTCCGTATCATTTCTTAGGCCAATTATAGGGACCACTATACTATCCATTATGCCTGTGATAGGGGCCTCCATGCCATTTGTTCTGGCTATGATACCATTTGTTAGGCCCATGATAGGGACCTCCATTCCATTTCTGAGGCCAGTTATAGGGACCACTATACTATTTATTATTGATTTAATAGGGGCCACCACACTATTTGATAGGCCTATAATATGGTCCACCATACCATTGTTTCGGCCTATGACTGGCGCCACCATACCTTTTATGAGGCCTCTTGTAAAGGTCACTGCACCATTTGTAAGGCATTTGACAGGGGCCTCCACACTATCTGTTTGGCATAATATGATAGAGGCCACCACGAAGACCAAGAGCCCATATACATTGTTATAAAACATATTGATGTTTGTTTTAAAATATCTAAATGCACAGTGCAACAGTAAATCATATCTTCAATATATGGAGTTAAAATAGTTACCCATGTTTACTATATTCTTATGCTTGTCGTAAGAGACGACTAACGGGATCGGGTAGTCAGGTTCACTAACTTGGTTGACCCATGTCATTGTATCCCAGTTGCCTAGATAGATGCTCATGCTGTTGATCACTGGATTGTCTGGTCCGGATTTGGTTATTTACAGACCGCCGCCATATAGCTGGAATATTGCTGAGGGCTAAACTCACTCACTCACTTATGTCAATGAACAATATAGGATCGGCAAAACAACCAATCAGTAAAATATAACAGCAACAATAACAGACCGTCGCCATATAGCTGGAATATTAAGCTCGCACTCTCTACTTTAATCTGAATATGTTCTTGTTGATGTTTAGCAGTAACCATGCCTATCACCATCTTTTCTCAGGGGAACAGTTGTGGGCTACAATGTACCCGAGTGTGACACAAATTTAAACCTCACTCGTGACCACGTGGTTGGCATCTTCAACGGGACTTTCCGGTCCTGGAATGACTCAAGCATTGCTGAAACAAATCCATTTTGTAATTTACCCAACGCAACTATCAGGGTGATAGCAAGGGCAGACAAGTCCGGAACAACAAGCATGTTCACCGCAGCGTTGAGCAGTTTCAGCAAGGAATGGAATGATACCTTTGGCGTGTTCGACCAGGGGTTCAATACAGAGACAAACAAACCTTACAAATGGAACCAGAGCGTCATCGATACATTTGGTCAAAAAAGCGTAGGTGTGTCCGGACTGCTGCTGTCAATAAAATACACCATAGGCTACATCTCCGTCGCTGGAACTAGTGAGCATGGCATAAAGTATGCTACCCTGCAGAACAGGAAAGGCAGGTTTGTGAGATCAACTACCACAGCCATACAAGGAGCCATGGATAGATGGTCCCAGACTGCTGGGGATTCGCTAACCGGAACACTATCAGACCAGGACCACGACAACGCATATCCTATAGCAGGCTTCACATACATGATTGTGTATCAAACGAAAATGACTAATTGTGATTCGGCCAAAGAGTTGGTGCGCTATGTGGACTGGTTCATGCACAGCCAGGAAGCTAAGGATGCATGTACGACAGTGCACCTTGTGCCTTTGTCGCAAATCCTCGTGGACAAGAATGTGGCCCAAGTCTTGAAGAAGATAACATGTAAAGGCCAGTCAGTGTGGGATATGGTTCAAGCAGACATAGCGGAAGAGAATCGTGTTGAAAATACCTGGCTGGTGCCTGTTGCAGTATCAGTGCCTCTTATTCTCTTGCTGCTCTCAGTACTGATTGGTTACATTGCATACCAGAGATGGAAACTGAATAAAATGATAGATAATGATGAATGGGACATCCCAATTGAGGATATAATCTTCTATCTGGATGATAAGGTTCTGTCGGGAGGCAGGTCCAAGTTGGGCACTATGAAGTCAATAAAGTCCTTACAAAATATTGAGGATATTCCTGAAGGATCCGAGCTTCTTGATCAGATTCTTCAGTGGCCAGGAAAATGGAAAGGGCATGTTATCGGAATTCGACTATTAGAGATTAAAGAAATGGCAACCATAAATAGAGAGATGAAAAGACTGCTATTGTGGATGAGGGACTCCATAGTCCATACAAACGTGATAAGGTTCTTTGGTCTCACTAACCTTGATAATGAAAAATATGCCATTGGTGAATATTGTGGAAAAGGACCTATGACTGATATTCTTCAAAATGAAAAGTATAACCTTACGAACGACTTCAAGTTTTCCTTATCTACAGATATCGCTAGTGGAATGAATTTCCTCCACAACCATGGTGTAGTACACGGAAGCCTCAGCTCTTCATGTTGTCTCATTGACTCAAGGTGGATGGTTAAAGTGGGGGACTGGGAGTATTGTAGGCTGTTTAAACAGCTGTACAGGAAAAAGAACCCTCTTCAGTTTGTTCGCAAGGATCCACACTACCTTAGTAAATACGCTGCTGCATTCCGAGACTTCTGGGTTGCTCCAGAGATTCTTCGAGGCGACTTTGAGCTGCCGCCGTCTACTCAGAGCGATATGTACAGTTTTGCAATAATTACGCAAGAGATTTTCACACGTGAGGATCCTTATGCAGAACATGCAGATGCTCTTAGCCCAGATGAGGTTCTGAAAGCTGTTGTTAACAATAATCTCCGCCCTCAGCCTAATGACGACACACCTTTGAACGTGAGGCAGGTAATGGAGATTGCTTGGTCGGACAATGCAGCTACGAGGCCAACTTTTGAACAGATATTGAAGATGTTGAGACAATCACGGTCAAGTCGAAAGTCCGTCCTTGATTCCATGATGGAAGCAATGGAGGAGTATACAGCCCATTTAGAGGAACGTGTTGAGGAGAGAACTTCAGAGCTTACTGTTGCCAAAGCAGAATATGGAGACTATGATGAATGATATCATCCCAAATCATTTAGTGAAGAGGATCACTAACGGACAGTCTGTTGAGACAAAAGTGTGTTCTTCTCTGGGAATAATCATGGCGGATGTTATGAACATTAAATATATCACTGAGATTGCAACTGCTAAAGATATTGTTCAGTACTTGAATGACATACATACTGAAATTGAAACAGCTTTACAAAACAAGGACACGTACCGTACGAATCTACAGGGCGATTCTTTTGCTGTTGCTGTTGGATTACAGGATGATAAACCTACAGTTGACAAGTGTGTTGAGACAGTAGCTAATATTGCTCTAGACATCATCTCACAAGCCAGTAAAGCAGCCTGCCCTTCTTCCATATCCAAACCATTTGAGTTACGTCTTGGGGCACATATTGGCAGCGTTGCTACTGGTATTGTTGGTCATACTGCGCCCAAGTTTGTCATCATGGGTGACCCCATTGACGTCACGAAGAGTCTTCTTTCTCAGTCGACTTCCTCCAAAGTTCGAATCTCAACCATCATGTACAAACATATCTGTAAGAAAACATACTTCTTTGTGGAACCAGCGGAGCAAATTGAACACAGGGTAAGATGCGTGATGTGTTATCAGGATGAGTGAATGAGATGGGCAGGTGTCGTTGTAAACTGTATTTCGGTTGTATTGTGGCTTGTTAGCATTTTGTGAGAGACTTTTAAAGGTCAGAGACTAGCTCAGTTAGGTCAGAGACTAGCTCATATATAGATTTCCATTTGACGTTTAGCAGCACTCATGTATTTTATTGTGTCCTAAACTTGCAAGTGTGAAGGAAATGAAAACTTTGACATATTTGTACACTTCTGATTATCTCCATGCCAATGCCACAACTTTCAAATTTGATTTGATTTAAACATATTTTATTCAGTGAAGAAAGGGATTAGGAACAAGTTCAAATTTGATATTGCGGGTTGGATGAAAATGACAGTCATCCTTCATCGTTCTTTAGATTCAAACCGACGACCTTCTGTTCCTAGTAAGATTATGGGGTACAACTCCTCGTGGTAGAGTTGCAGAATAAGTTGACAATTTGCTCAATCTGCTTGGATTTCCTTGAACAATATGGAAATACAATCATACCAGTTAGTATTGATTATTTTTCTTAAAAGCAAACCGGTATTTTGTTTGCAGGCATTATGCCTGTAGACTTTGTACTTCTGCTGGTCGTATGTTTAGTAACAAACATCTTTTATTGCTTTCACTGCATTCATCTTTGTTACTTCTATTGGCAATACTTACTCTTAATATACAGAATTCAAGTATGTGTTACTACAACTTCGCAGACACCTCTACCAAGTTAATGTATCGAAACATTTACTATCTCAATTTAGTCACATATATTTGGAATTTGTAACTATTTCTTCTTCACCATCATCATCATCATCATCCCTGTTTTCTATATACATGTAGCAAGTCAGTATCAAGACGATGATCATGATGGTGAAGTGCATCTATATTATCTTTTCTTACAGGGCATGAAGATGGACTCCTATTGGTTGAAGGGAAGAGACTGCCTCGTTGTGGACATTCCATCGGACATATCAGTGGATTCTGGTGTAGATACCGAGAAATCTCGGAGTGAGTCACGTGCCTCGAAATCCTCAGACAAATCACGTGGTTCTATTAAGTCAAATAATGGTTCGGCAAGTGGTATTGAAGACAAGGATGCCAATTCGGACATCATGCCTTCTGAAAGTATTTCATCTTGGGGTTTGAACCCGCTGGTGACTGTGAAGCCACCTAAAGGTAAACCTCCCAAAAACAAAGTACACCCTGTGGAACAGGTATAGTGCCTGTCGTTTGAAGGAGGATGCTACCTCAGTTTGTCCAAAGGATTTGGAGTTGACATCTCTATGGCAACAAAGAAAGCATTTCGAGGAACAGGACGAGGAAGAGACAGCAAAGGGTTGTGTTCAGATAATACTTTTTTGTTATTTTAAATCCGTCATCCCATTTTTACTCTATCACATGATCCTATTGCTGTATCTCCTGATCTGACTTCATCCATTCTGATGTATCCTGGCCATACTTTCCATGTCAGATTTCATCAGGATAAATTTATCTTGGACAGACATCCAGATCGTGGCAAGACTTCATCCAGATCGATATACCATGGTTTAATCCCGGTTTATATGTGTACCAGATATAGGACACCGATTGCTCACTAGAATGTCTTCGTTAATCATATTTAGCTGTTATTTCTTATATTATTACATTCAACTCCCTTGTTCCTATATGTCTTCACAACTTTTCAGTATATCAATATCATGCCAAGATATTTTTCAATTATTAATCTTCTTATAATCCAGACATGCTTGCTTGTGGCCATTTTCGTCTGTTTATAAATTTAGCTTTACATATACTAACCGAAGGAAATGAATAACTATTCGATTCCCTCGTATTGCTTGAGGTATCTTGTCATGACATGAAAGGTTGATTACATGTATATGAAAGAACCGAGTGGTTGTGCAAGACCGATTAACTATGGTAATATGAAAGAACTGAGTGATCCTTTACTTCTTTTGAGCAGTATGTAAACGTCCGCTGATGACGTATTGTTGAGTTTCTTCAAAAGATTTAAGTGGTAATCTCGCGTCTTTCATAGTCATGATTGTCAGCAAGTACGTTGTTTTATTTAAAATTTGGTTTCAACAATATTCCACGGCGGGGAACACCAAACTTGGTCTTCACATAGTGTGGGGAATCGAACCCAGGCGTTCAGTGCGACAAGTGACCGCTTTAACCACAAGGGTATCCCACCGGCCCATGAAAGTCTTGGTCACGTGTTTGGTTTGTTAAACATTACAATAAACAGTTGCTGAAATGCATGTCTTAAACCTTCGTATTAATAACACGGTATTGGTTCGATCAGCGTCATCGTTTTTGTTCGATTGCGAAGTGGACATTCAGACTTGTATCTTTATTGAAATGAGGACTTGTTTTGGCAGAACGTTAAGAGATTTATGTGTGTCCTGTGTCATTCAATATGTCTCAGAATATGACATTTCACTTTACAAACAGAGGTCGTGTCAAATTTTGTTTTGTTTGTTGATAAACGCCGTACCCAGCAATATTCTAGCTATTTGGTGCGAATGATAAATAAATATTGTTTGTATAATAATACTCCGAAGCACAATCAAGTGACTGACTTCACAAAAATCTATCAACGTAATTTGGATACACTGACATGTATCTAAGACCACCGATATTGTTAAGATAAGCATAGGTGGTAGTAGATGACTTCTTAGCAGGATCTTCAAGCATGGCTTGTTGAAGACCAATTCTAAGCAGGATCTTAGCATGGGTTCTTGAAGACCGATTCTGTGCAGGATTATCAAGCATGGGTTTGTGAAGACCAATTCTAACCAGGATCGTCCATCATGGGTTGTTGAAGACCGATTCTAACCAGGACTGTGAAAGCTTTGGTCGTTTCAAGAACGAGACGAGACAACACCAGTAATCCATTTATTTACATGTATTGAGGAAGCCAGGGCAATGCCGTGAAGCTTTATAAGTATATGTTAAGCAATATATGAAAAAGCTGTTTGATAGCATTGATGACAATGCCGTGAAGCTTCATTAATATATGTTAAAGAATATATGAAAAAACGGTTTGATAGCATTCATAACATTGATGACATTGATTTTCATATTGCTCGGCTAATCTCCTCCTAAAGGTGGTGCTTTCAAATATTTTACATAGCGTACTGGGAGTAAAGACAAAAAGCGACAATTATTTGAATAGATCACTGAAAGTCGGTGAAAACTCCTGGTTTCATTCAAAATATTCATGTGCTAAAGGCTCAGCTTGACGTGCGATTCGTGCCTCGTTTATTCGACTTGGTTCCTTCTTGTGTAAGCAGCTAATTAGAAGGACATAGTCAATCGTTGCGCCACATTCGCGATAGCTTCTTGCATGTTCCGGAAAGAAAGGGGCGGTGATGGACGCCATTTTGAATCGTCACCACTCGCCCCTTTCCGTACCCGTTCGGCTTTTCACGAACAGACACGAGTGGTAGAAACTCAATAGTAGACTGCACATATAGCACTGCCAGTAAACTACCATCTACGAGCCCAAGTCTTTCATTTATCTTAGAGTTGTAGTTGTTTAAATATGCTGCCTTCGACCTGCTTTTAGGCCTGTGTTTTCAAGATGAAATTGTTTGTGAGAGAATATTGTTGTTTTTCCGCTAAAGCTATGCGCAACATTTTTGTATGACTGAAATTTAGAAAAATGTTCTAATTCGCATATTATGCATACTAATGACCCGTGCCTATTTTCTTGAAATTTTTTAAACCAAAAAAAATTATATTGAAGTAATATATCCATATTGGCAGGAGAGGATCAGTTCAACATTACATAAAAGTGAATTATTATTTATCTTATGAGTCTGCATAAAATCTTATTATTGTTCTTGTGCTAGTTCCATTTCGGACCAGACAAACCAATGATCAATATCATGAGCGTCCTACATCGATATGATGAAGAAACAAACAGGCAGGTCACACAGACCATGATGCATACTAAATACTGCCGATGTAATCCGAATGCTCAGACAGCTCGTTGGTCACATGAAACCAGACCGTTGACCGATTCGTTGGCGAAAAAAGACTACATATATTGTATGTATTGACGGGAGAACGGGGTGTATTGAGGAACGTAGACTACACAAAACAGGTGATGTATTGATTAAGTAGATCAAAGTTGATCAAAGTATATTTGAAACGTGACATTAACATGATTATAGTTCTGTCTCTGTGTAGTTTTAAATAACCCGACCTGTCTTATCACAATATGTTCACATCAATATGCCATGTTACAATAACATTTAAAACCAGAACATTTCACGTAACGTACCCACTTTACGAGAAAAATACTGTTATCCAAACTATTACGAGTGGTGCGTTTGGGTGTGGAACTTGAAGAACTTGTGCACGTGCTGGAGGATATTTACCTGTGTCGTAACCGCTTGTTATATAACCTTTATACAAACATAAAACATATAAATCTATAAGTTTCACTTTCCACCAACTGCCAGCACAAACGTCACATCCATATCGGACAAATATGTTAAACATATGAATACTTTCATTATCAACAATCAAATGTCTTCTTTCAAAACTATTTCAGTAGTTTATATCCACCATTGGAACTGACAAACATGGGCGTTGTTTTGGAAGTGGTTTATAAACCCGTATTAAACCGGTTTGAAATTCATACAAAATCCTGTTAGATGAATATCAGTCCTGTTGTTATTTGTAATAATATTAGTTGTGTAGGTAATAAATAACGATGGTGTTTGCTGAAAGTCGGTCTCACAGCAGGACAGACACCAAACGCGGTAAGCCATTGATTCCATTTGTCGACAACCATGGGGTGTTTGTGTGTCAAGTCTAAGGCTCCCTGTACTAAGTCCCCAAATGTATTATTTCAGGATCTCGTTGTCCATCAGGGTGTTAGCGCGATGACCATCTTAATTACAGTATTGGATTACGATAGTGGAACTCAACCGGTGACAATACCTTGATGCACGCGTGGTACAATTACACTCCATGACAAAAAGACCTTACCATTAGTATAATGTTTACAGAAAATTAAAACTTCACCCACCCTGTTTAAGTGAAAACGGTATGCCTGATCAAACGCGTTTGCTCCCACTGCGACAAAGATCCACTGAAGGTCATTAGATATTTATAGTTATGCTTGATCTGGTCAACTTAACGTTAACGCATGGAATGCTATCGATGATCCTCTAGTATCGCTGAAAGGCTGTTTACCAAACCGCAACACACTACTCTCAGTCTAAATTCACATCAAACACAAGCCTGTATAAACATGCTACACTTTAAAATGTGGACGTAGATTCAACAACGGTATATTTTCTTCGACACCAAGGCGATAGCGTGAGGCTTCGAATTAGAAAACACACAGCTATCGAATCGTACGAAGGCATTATTGTTACTTCGTGATTATTCGTATGTGTGTGATCATTAAGCTAATTACAAACCAAACTTCATTATGAATAACGTGTTTACTTGACCTTCTATTTCTGTTTATTCCAGAAATGACACCATCCGTAAAAATAAACTTGATCACGTTTTCTATTGTGTTCTGTGAAGTAATCATAAACACACGTTGTCATACATGAATAACGAATTAACTTGACATGTATCGTTAGTTATTATAAGAATGAGACCATCAGTACTATTAATCACATTTTTATATATCTTTTCTTTTAATTATCCGCAAACAATGCGTCGTCATGAATAAATAAGGAATTAGATTGACGATCCGATATGTTTACCGTTACTTATTTCAGGAATGACGCCATCTGTAATTTTCCCCCGTTTTTAAGTACGTTAGTGTTTTAAGTAAACAATGAATCATCAAGAATAAATAACCAGTTAACTTGACATGTTTATCATTGTTTGTTACCAAATGACACCATCAGTAAACAAACTACATTGTTGACCCATTACCGCTGGCGAGATTCTCTGTACATAGAAATATTCTCGCCTTTCAATCGTTTTAATATGTGCCAAAGTGAGTTGTGTTGTATTTATCTTAGCATCTTTTCCTTCATATTAAACTTATGTGCATTATGACAATGACTCTTGTTATATATGCGTACGTTTCTGTGGAAATGATTACAGCATTTTGCATTCGTATTTACTTCACAAAAACATTTCATGTGGCGTTTTGATGATGATGATGATGATGATGATGATGATCGGACTGGTGCTAACAAACCTGTAAACGTAATCAACAGGTACTGGGATTCGAACAGAGGGTCACGGGTTTCTGTTCCGCTCAAAGGACGAAACTCTGCACTGCGAATAGCTCCCACGACCGTAAGCTATGAATACACAAAACCATTTAGAGTTGCTGAGTGGGTTAGATGGCTGACTTTGTGTGCTTGCGCTGGGACTCAACCCAACAAAAGTAGTAGAATCTGTACTTTATGGAGAAAGCGTGATCCCAAATATAACGTGTCACATTTGACCACTTTCTAAATGGCATCTTGTATTCAAAGGAACCATGGCTAGAACACTCAAGTTGGTTTACAATTATACAAACATTAGAGCACCGTTAGCAGCAAGAAACGTATGCATGTACCCGCTTCAGAGACAATGGTTACAGGGATGTCATGAATGCTCGTGGAGCACAATGTCGTTGGTGTTTTTGTCGGGATTTAATGTTTCCCAAGTGAGTTGACAGCGATCTTTCACGAACCGAACCTTTTGTTGCAATTATTCATAACGTGCACATGCTTGAGATGGCAGGATAAATGTACCATGACAAAATGTCTATTTCCACGCAGCCTGACAATGCCCCCTACGAGAGCCATGGCCAGCTGCTGTCTCCAATACAAAGCATTGCTAGCTTGTTTTTCACAAGTGACCTAATAAAAAAACATCGACACCACTATCCGTTTATTTCCCAAGGGTATGATGAACTGTAAACAATGGATTACTTGGTTCACAAAATGTTATAGGTTGTTTAGATGTGGTCAAACGTTTTAGGATCAATGGATGAATAATGTATGGTGAAAACTAAGTGCCGCTGTACAAAGTGATGTCAGCGCTGAGTTGATCGTAGCTTGTGTGACTTCACATAGACGATTGTCGCCAAGGGCTTTGTTTGTTTGTTTGTTTGTTTGTTTGTTTGTTTGTTTGATACTGCACTCAGCAATTTTACAGGTATTTGACAGTCGAGTGTGGGTCAGACAACCCAGTGACTGCCGTCATGAACATCGATCTACGCAGTTGGGATCACAGGGGCGTGTCACGCTTAGAAACAGCGTTAGAAAGACATATAGGTATATAGACCCTATCCTAGTACTATATAAAAGCCATGGCTCTCGTAGGGAGCATTGTCAGGCTGCGTGGAAATAGAAATTTTGTCATGGTACATTTATCCTGCCATGTCAAGCACGTGCACGTTATGAATAATTGCAACAGAAGGTTCGGTTCGTGAAAAATTGCTGTCAACTCACTTGGGAAACATTAAGTCCCGACTAAAACACCAACGACATTGTGCTCCACGAGCATTCATGACTCCGCTGTTTCTAAGCGTGACACGTCCCTGTGTACATTTATATAGTACTAGGATAGGGTCTAAGTACCTATATGTCTTTCTAACGCTGTTTCTCTCACTCACCAGCACTGAAAACGCACCAGTCTAAAATTGTCCATATTTTCATCAAGATGAATTTCAGCATGACAATTATCAATGAATATTACTAACATGAAGTCACAGGGCATGTCCAGTTGAAATATTCTTTCTAGAAACGAGTTCCTGTTCACAATATGAAACTCCAAAACGCAACAACATGCATCCACGCCTTGAAATAAGCGACTTTCGTTCTGAAATTATGCTGACTGTGACCTTAAAAGCAGGTGTATGAGAAACGATTCTCATTTCTTCACTAACGATTGTGAAACGAGGACAGAGATGCCGGAGATAACACCTCAGGAAAGAGAACGTGCACTAGGCATGATTCAGGTTGGCACCAGCAGCAGGGATATTGCTCGACGACTTGGATGTAGCCACTCCACCATCGTTAGGCTTCATAGACGACATCAGCAGATAGGCAGGACCCGGGACCTTCCACGACCTTGGCAGCAACGTGTCAAGACGCGCAGTCAGGATCGCCATATTGTCCATGACCATGTCAGTGATCGAACGCTGCCGGCTGCCAGGACTGCTGCACTAGTTCAAGGTCGACGTGGGATCATCAGCGCCGACATCGTGCGACGTAGTCTACACGGTCCCGGGCTCCATGCTTGACGTTATTACATTGGACCAATCCTGACTGACAGACACCGTAATGAGCGTACACAATGGGCTAACAAGAATGTTCAATGGAGGTTCAACAATGACATGGTGTGGTATTCACTGACGAGTGACGTTTTCACCAACGTAATGCTGACGGCCGATTATGCGTTTGGCGTAGACGTGGTGAACGTTATGCTGATGAGTGTGTGGTTCAGACAGACTGTTGGGGTGGTGAGAGTATCGTTGTCTGAGGTGAAATAAGTTACAATCACAGGACTTCCTTTATGTATGTCAAGGGAGAGTTAATGTCCTTTACTACCGTGACCAGATTCTTCAGAATCACGTCGTACCATTCTTCAATCACCACCTAGATGTCCATACTTTTCGATAGGACAACGCACGGGCTCACACAGCTAGACTTTCCACGCTGTATCTGGCCCAGCTACACATCCAGGTTATTCATTGGCCGCACTGTCGCCAGATTTATCCGCTATTGAGCACTTGTGGTACG